TAGTACAAAGGGTGCTATGTATGAATTTACTAAAATGTGTGAAATGCCTAGAGAAAGTGCAAGCTTGATATATAATTACCGTTTATATTTTACAATTTTACAACCTTACCTATAATACCTGTTTTAATTTCTTTATATCTGTGGGGTTGATTTTGGTTTACCATCGCTTTGACTTTTTGTTACATCTTTATTTTATTTTATTGGGAAATTTGAAAATCATTGTATGTTTTCAAAAACAATTTCAAAATAGTGGTATACTTTACCAACTTTAATTATTAGAGGTATAAACTTTTCTATGAATTTGTAAATATTTTGTGAAATGACCACTGCGTTGCAGTTTTTCCTATTTTATTTGAGATTTATAAAGAAAAAAAAAATGGAGCTTCTCCAATGAAATGATAAAAAAAGATATAGATGGTATATAAGGTAAAACATACATTTTAATATAAAAGAGATGATAACATCATTTTTTTCCATTCGTATGATTAATGAATTTATGATGAAAATGGACTCAAGTGTTATAGGAATTAAAAACTTTAGGGAACCCAGTGTGATTATGTCAAACTTATGGGATTCACTATATTTCCTTCAAATTTCAAGGAGGTCAGTGTAATTTACCCAAAAAATAATGTTATTGGCAAAAATTAACATCAAGGCCAATTTGGAACTCTCCAAAGGCTAGATAAACATTATGTTATATTTTAAAATTACTAAGTTTTGTGCCAAATTTGATACAAGATTTAGCTATAACAAAAAATTTGACAATATTTTTGTTTTTGCATCTCATGATGAAACCCGTAAATAGCATTTCTATTTGATATTTTGTGTGAAAAATAGAAGCAATTACAATTGCACCGTTACACCAATATTGCTATAGTATTGCATTTGTCAAAATAGTTGGATTTTATATAGTGAGTATGTAATAAATAAAAAAAATGACACTTATCATGTCACATTATTGTAGGTCAAACTAAAAATTTAGGGCAAATTACAAAAAATAAAAAAAAACACCACAGGATTTGAGCCATTTAATAAAATAAATCCTGAGTTTTTAATTTGTCAATATAAATCTTATACTTTGGATTTATTTTCAATCAAAACTATTTGCCTATTTTTGTTAAGTAAAAATTGATGGATTAAGGGATATTTTAGTCATTAAACTCATGAAAAAGCTTATTTTAGACATTTTATATATACGTACATTGAGTTTAATGAGTAAAGTACTCTTTTTTTTAATCAATTTTACTTAATGAAAATAGGCAAATGGTTTAGATTGAAAACAAATCCAAAGATTAGGGTTTGAATTTAAAAAATTAAATACTCAAGATTTATTTTGTTAGAACCCTCAAACTCTAGGATTTTTTTTTATTTTATTTATAATTTCCCCAAAAATTTATTGTTAAAAATATCAATTATTTTTCAATCATAATTATTTATTGTGATGTATACCTTAAAAGGTCCGTGCCTTGCACGGGTGTTTCTTACTAGTAATTCCATATACTCAGCTTAAGCACACCACACCTGAATCGAGGTCTCAACTTGATGTTTGTGTGGAGCTGAAGTGGGTGTGTAGTACTTGCAGAACCTATCAGAAGCCACCCCATGACACATGATTACTTAAAACTTATTATTGCTCACTCAATTCATGAAAAAATATGTTTGAGCTTAATCCCCACCTAAAACTATGTTCCTAACCACTTCCCAATAAGTAGAGCACCGTTTAATCCACTTAAAACGCATGTTACTAAATAATGAAATGAATATTCAAACTAGCTAATTTAAGAAATACTGGGCAACATATTTGGACTTTATAGTACAACTAAAATGAAGCAAAGCTGTTAAACATTTCTTCCACCGGTTAAAAAGGTCAAAGTTTTTCATCAATACAACATTTAAACAATATTGAGCCATCCAAGATTTAGGAGGACTTGCGTATATGTCCTAATAGTTGGACTTTGTCCAATGGGTCATGTGATAATTAAAAGCATTTTTCATTAAACACTATTAAAAAATGTCACGAATTGTTAATTTTCAGCGACATAAAATTTGTCACAAAAAAAAACCACCAATTATAAAGTTATTAATTTTCAGCCTTCAGCGACAATTTGAAAAATTTGTTACAGAAAAACATCACTAATTGTAAGTTTTAGCAACAATTTATAAAAAAACGTAGCAAAAAAAGTCGCTAATTGTAAATTTTTAGCGATGTATGCAAAAATAGTCACAATTTTTTTTTTAGTGACGATTTATTAGGACTAACTTTCAATAGCACTTAATGGGAACAATTTTTTTTTTAGTGACGATTTATTAGGACTAACTTTCAATAGCACTTAATGGGAATTAAGTCCAACTATTTGGACCTATTAGTAATTTATCCCAAGATATTTATTGTTGAGCTTAAGTTATAATTTTAGTACCTAAGAACATCAATTTTCAGCATATATAATATAATCCAGCACTTAATCACAACCCTATAGATGTTACAATATAGGTTTAGTGGGTGAAGTAGGTGATAGGTTTTAACACCAACTATTTGGACCTATTAGTAATTTATCCCAAGATATTTATTGTTGAGCTTAAGTTATAATTTTAGTACCTAAGAACATCAATTTTCAGCATATATAATATAATCCAGCACTTAATCACAACCCTATAGATGTTACAATAATTTCCAGCACCTAGACACAATATTTCGGCTACCATGTAGGATTTTCAATTGGTAAAAATGAGTATTTCAGCTTCTAATCATGAGTTCTAGTATCTGAATTATAATTCAGCAACTAGTCAATTTATTTAAGCTTTTAGGCACCAAACTCAGCACTAAGAAAAACTGTTTGAGCATTTAAATACTATTTTGCTTAAAATATAATTATGGTATTAATAAATACTCCCTCCGTCCCAAAATATTAGTCCCTTAGTCCTTTTTCAAAAATCAAGAACTAAAATATTATGAATTTTCTATTTTGCCATTTTTTTTAATTCATTAACATTTATATGCACAAAAAGTATAATTATGACAATTGATGTTCCCAAAAAAAATACACTATTTTGATTTTAAATCAAAAGGTAGTTTTCAAAATTTAATATTTTTGAAATGTAATAATTGTATTACCAAAAAAAGTTAGATTCCGTAAAAAGGATTAATATTTTGGGACGGAGGGAGTATTAGAGTTAGAATGTAAAAATATGTAAAACTATGATTGGGGAGAGAGAGAGAGAGAGAGAGGAGAAGAAGAAGAGAAGAATACATTATATTGAATATATAAACCTAAAACCATTAGCAGATATTTATAAAACACACCACCTCACAATATGACCATAATACCCTCAACTTAACACAAAAATAACATATAACATATAACTATTCTAACAATTAGCTTTGGTGGACACTTGCCTATTTGTTTTTAACTTCACCTAGTATAGGAAATGTATCATATTCTAATATTGTGAATAGGACTTTTAGGTAATTAACCCATTAAAATAGTCATGGATTGACTCAAAGTCCCAAACTAAAGGCAAAGGGCCCCAAAAAGACAAAACAAAAAAAAAAAAATCTCAGCAACTAAAGAAACAAAGGAGGGCCCACTGTCTATTTGTGCTTTGCTCTTAAACAATAGAGAGAAATCTTGTCGGAGCCCTAAGTTTCCTATAACTAAACTTTTCTGATTATTGTCATTTATGCAAATCTATCCCAACAAAAAGTCAAACAAATTGCAAACTTGGTTTTTTAAAGATTTTCATTTACGGAAAATAAAATATTTTTAGTCTTTAGATTTTTCATTTGAGATTTGTGATTTTTATATTTTATTTACTGATTTACAATTTTTCCATTCGATATTGTTTATAATTTCAGATTTCATCTTCATAATGAAGAACATGAAGTTATTTATTTATTTATTTTTAAACCGGATTTTACTAAACTATGAAGAAACAAAATGAGGTATTATCTTTTTTAAGTCTGAGTAATGATTTGTTGAGATTTTAGTCTAGGTAACTAAATTTAAGTAATTATATTCAACAAATGTTTTGTGCATATTAGAAAAAAATAAATTTTTTTGAGTAATTATTACTTCATCATTATTTTTTTAGGGTGTGAGATATAAAGGGCCCCAAACTTGAAGGTTCCCTTTGGGCCCCAAAAAGTTGTGGGCCGGCCCTGCTTATGTATGTATCAATGTGGTTGTTTGGGATGTTCTTAAAAACTAGCTTTTTGGCTAAATAAGTCAAAAAGTTAGAAAGCTTGTTTGTCATCAACTAAAAAACCCACTCAACTTCCCAAACACGTAAGCTTTTTGTAGATTCTACAAAAAAAGTCAAAAAAGCCAAAAAACTACAAAAAAGCAAAACCCAACTAGTAATTTCATATTTAGCTTAATAGTTCGTTTAAACCAACTAGTTAATGAGGATAAAGCATGGTTTTATTTCCAATATGATAGTGCTATAGTCTTTCATAAACAATATAGAAATCTCAATTGGAAAAAATGGACCTAAGCTATGTTACCGAAAATGCTAATACTCTAGTGAATTACGTATTGGTGCACATGTTCCGAAACATGGTACACTTCTGTTCCAAAACAGTAAATTTAGTGATCCAAGGTGTTCCCAAAAGTTTTTTCTAATATACTTCCTTAAATGTTACTTTAGGAGGAAAAAAAATCAAATATAATGAACTAAAATTTAAGATGAGTTAAGTTTTGACAAGACAAAAACATTAACAATGAAAAGAAGAAAAAAAAAACATTTTATTGGATGCATAATAGTTAAAAGAAAATTATTTTAGTACCTTAAATTCTTAAGTATAATATATACTAGTTTACCCTTATCGTACCACATTTTAGAGCATGTGGCGTATCACGTTTCCGTTTCCGTTCCACATACCGGAACAATCCACGTTCCAGTAACATAGGATCTAAGAAAAATGTAAGAAAACTGAAGCTTAAACAGTTTTTGAACAAATTTTTGAAATGATGTTTATATATTTCTTTTTTCTTTATTTGCAGGTTATTTCTGAAATTATTGAAACTTGTCGTGCACATGATTTCACGGATGTAGTGTTTGTTCATGAGCATCGTGGTGTACCAGATGGTATAATTATAAGCCATTTACCTTTTGGTCCAACTGCTTACTTTGCATTACTCAATGTGGTAAGTAGTTCTACTCCCTTTAGTGGCCATTAATTCTTGTTTTTCTCTTTATGCCTCTTGGATTTGGTTACAGTATTATGATCTGTTACTTTCCTATAGGTTACAAGACATGACATTAAGGACAAAAAAGCCATGGGAACAATGCCCGAGGCTTACCCACATTTGATTCTTAACAATTTCTCAACCAAGGTACAATTGTACAGGTCTTTTTCAGTCGGAAATGTTTGACTTTCATCTGAGATAGCCAATAGACATTTAAATGGTTGTCTCATGATTTCAACAAAGATTGCAACAGTGGATGCATTTTAAGTTCAACCACATTCATGTAGGCTTAGGTTGTGATTCAGTGTTTAGCAAGAATCATATCAGAGTTTCTGCACTTATGCTGTTGTATATATAACATAATGGGACACCATAGCTATTGTATGAAGAAAAATGAGTTTTACTGTTTCATACTGAGTTTGTCAGAAAATGGATAGAATATTTTTGAAAACTGGTTAAAGAATTATGGAAGTGAAAATGCATGGAACCTAGATTCTTAGGGGCCCTACCACCCTTCAAATATTTTTTTCTTTCTTACTTTTAGTTTTTGCATGAACTTTTTGTTATGCTCTGAGCTTGATTATCAACCACTAGCAATGTGTTGCCTCTGAATATTTGTGGATCTGCTGATTGCTGATAGCTCGGCCAAAGGACAGCAAACATTTTAAAGTATCTATTTCCAGTGCCCAAGCCTGATACAAAACGTATCATCACTTTTGCCAATCAGTCTGACTATATTTCTTTCAGGTTGGTTGTCTTTTGCATACTTTCACAGATGCTTCTGTTTACTGTTGAATTGATATAAAGTTTAATTTGTGAGAAAGTAAACATCCATGGATGTAATCCTCTACATTATCCATAATGAATTTGCTACTTCACTGATATTGTCCCCTTGGATCTCCAATCTGCATGTCTGCAGTGCTGCTAGTGCACTGTACCTTTATGTCTTTTCTCATTGTTTGGCGTGTTCAAGTCATACTATTTTTAGTATTCTTTTTTTGAGAACTATGGAAGAAATGGAATTTTGTCGTCTTTTCTGTTGAATTTTAATTATGCATGAAGGCACCCCTCTCAATGGAGCTGTTGGTTTTATATCAAATTTAGTTTATTCACTTCAAAACTTAATTTGTCTTAAGAGGAAAAGTTAAATTAAGATTTGATAGGTTATATTTTGATGTTATCAATTAATTATACTGGTATTCTTGACCTCTATTTGCTGTAGTGCTAATTCATCTCTTCCCAGCCATGTATGTAGTGTGTCCCATCATGGGGGACTGGGGGATCTACTGATGTAGTAGAATAAGTGCCTTAAGTGTCAAAAGTCCTTTGTCTAGTGTCATTAGTTTTTGTATTAGGTGTCCATATTAGTTGTGGCTGTTAAGTGGTCTTAGTCTATAAATAGGTGATGTCATAAGAGTCATTGTTATGAGTTTTTTTTATTAAAAGAATATACATATTGATTGGAGCAGAGCTTTGGTTTCTCTAACCCTTCATTAGGGGTTTATCCCCTAATTGGGAATTTGTTCTCTCTCTCAATTGAAATTTGATTTACATTTTGATTGCATTACCTTCATTTAGGTGAAGCATTTAACTGAAAGTTAGGTAATGACTCCCTCTAGCAACAATTTGGGGGGGTATGTGTCAGCCATGTCAAAGTAGTTAATCTGATCTCTCAATTAGGATTGAAGGGGCCAATGATTCCTGAAAACTAGGCCTGTAATGCCCAAAAGAGAGCAATCTGAAACGGCTTCATCAAAGTTGAGCAATTTAAGAAAAAATGTATTGGCAAAGAATCAACAGCGACATGACTCGTTAAATTGCATACCCACTTCAAAATCTTGCTTTTTTGGTCTTCCATTAGTTAAGCCCAGCGTCGTAGTTGCTGTTTTCTCTCCTCTTCGTGTTGCTCTTGCATCTGCATTTTTTATGTGACCCACTGATGTTCTTGTCAAACAGGTTGCTTTCATTCTCAAATGCCTTTAGAAGCTTTAAGAAATTGCATCTCTCATATTATTTGTCAATCTAACTTTTAGCAAAAGCTAATAAAAGGAGAATGGTTTACCATTCTTTGAAGAGCTTCAAAGAGTGCTGGCCTTGAATGTAAACAGCATCCAAGTTCTCATCGCAGATGACTGAGAAATTTTGTAAAGCAAGATTAGTGTCATCTAACTTTGCAGTACACTTGAGGCATTGTCATCTAAATTCTCTCTGTCTCTTTACATTTTAATAGGTTTTGAACAGATAGGGAGTTCGGCACTAAATCAAATGTAATTATAGAGGGCATGTTAGGTTGTGTTTTTATTTTTTTGGTAGTACAGAAAAATTGTTTGGTGAAATGTTTCCAATTTATTTTTTAAAAAAAAAATTCTAAAGTCACTCTTTTAAAAATTACCAAAAGTTTTTTTTCCAATTTTTGAAAAAGTATTTCTACAAAGAAATAATAATAATAATAATAATGAGTTTTTTCGAACTTCGATTATTTTTTATTTTTGATGACATGAAAAACAAAAATTAAGAAAACCAAAATACAACCAAACCCACCCTGAGTGTGTTATGAAATCTGATGAATAGAAAAGATAAAAAAAAATGAAATCTACTTGTTCTTTAATAGTTGACAGGAGTACCATGGCAGATCTTATAAAGCTAAACTGTGCTTTGGGAAAACAATTCTTTAAGTATTGAAGGTCAAGATTATAACCACATTATATGCTAAAAGCTTTTGAAAGTCGAATACTTCCAAAAGTTGATATTAATTTGCTAGGAGGGTAGGTAGAGAAAAGTAGAATAATTTGTGCTTATGTACGAGGTCCTTTAAATGAAAGCTCTTTTAAACCTGAAAATCTCATTTATATCTCTGAAACCCTTGTATTTTCCTTCTTTGCTGCTTTTCTAAATTACCTGTTTACTTTAGTGGGAATTTTTTTTTTTTTTTTTTTGATATAATCATATTTGTCAAATTGGGATTTGAATCATGAATCGAAATGGCCTTGTACTGAATCGGGAATCGAATCGAATCGAATTATAAAGATTCAGTCACTTTTTGTAAATTAAAACCGACAACCAATTAGTACACATTAGTATGTGTTTGGGAGGGAAAAGATTAGGTACACACCTAACCTTTGGTATAGTATACAAAGTAGTTGCTCTGAAATTTGAACCAATAACCTCAAGGTTATTAGGCCAAGGTTTTACCATTGAACCAATGGTCACTTTTGTCTAAATTACTTAAAAAAAAATATATCTATACACTTGGATGTTAAATATATCTAATGAATATGAAATATTTAGACTTAAATCAATGAAAATATTATTTTGAACGATGATCACATGGTCTAATAGGTAATAAGTTAACACAAGTTCTCATGTAAAATCATCATTTCCCCTTTCCATTTTTTAGATATTGTTTATCACCTATTCTTAATAAAGAAAGTATACAAAGACAAACTCTCAATTTTCAAGTAACAATAACTTTACAATGATATTGATATTTGGACAATAAGGCCTCGTTTGGGAACAGGCTAATTTAGTAACTTTTTGGCTATTTGGCTAAAAAGGTAGGTAAAAAAAACTTGTATGTTTGGGATGACTTTTTGGCTAATTACGAAAAGATGTGCAAAAAGTAGAGAGAAAAGAGAATCTTTGACTTTTTGGTATGGGTTGTTGGCTTTTTGGCTAATTTAGTAACTTTTTGGCTAATTGGCTAAAATAGCCTCTTGCCAAACGAGGCCTAAGCATACATACCTTTCAAGTAACAATGACCCAATAATAAGAAAGAGTTAATTGGAATTTTTTATTTTAAAACTTAAAACATTTAGAAGGTATATATGCTTATTATTCAACTTGTTGAACTGTTAGGTCTAACTGAGTTTACCTATATAATATTAAACTATATTTATTTCAATAAAGTAGCAATAGATAATCCTTGGTGCAAGTTTCTTTAACTTTAAATATCTTTAGAATATATAAAAAAACGAAAAGAAAAGATTATAGACATGTTGGGTTTGACTATATCTGGTTGGATCCTATTTAAAACTCCATGATCACCAAAATAACAATAAATCATGTATATATATATTGGTTATTTTCGTACTAAATACTATTAGAAGTTGTATTTATGTCATTTTCATTAAAGAGGAAGAAAAAAAGAATCGAAATATGTTGGATATGATAGTTTCAAGAATTGCATGAATCGTGAAAAGTAAATTGAATTGTGAATCGTGCGATTCACCATAGATTCACTCATAGATTCGTATTGATTTTGCAAAAATTACAAATCGAATTGTGACTTGTAAGATTCTGGTAACAGAGGATATAATATAGTTAATTTCTCTCTCTCACAATGAATTAGAAGAACTCATCTAGGCTGCTTTGGGCAGCATCTAGTTAAACTCTCTGAAATAGGGGTTGATTCCATTGATATATATATATATATACATATATGAATGTTGATTACCAGGAATGTTTCCCTACCTAAAGTCCATGGGATTTTTGGAAAATTTTGAAAACTTGAGGCAAAACAAGGCACGGTTGCTCATTTCTTTGTTTTAACCTTTATCCTTAAAGAGGCCTTCCTGGTTCCATTTCTTTATCATGAGAATTTAACAATTGAACTGAGTCCAAATTCCAATAGCTGCATGCATTTTTCTTTGATCCCTACTAAAGCTCTTCGCAAAACCTATTTTGGAATCTTTTGCAAAGCTCTCTTTTCTGAAACATGACAGGGTTGTTCATTTTCTTGGACAAATATTAACCTTTATATTGACTACCTTTTGTTTACATGCTCAAGTCTGAACTTTTGATTTTGATACCTATAAGGTTAGTGTCACACACAAGTCCCAAATCATAGCTGGGGAAAAAAGGCTAGTGGCTATAGAATTTTGTGAGAAATGAATGACAAATTTTGAACTTACAATGGACGGCATTTCATAAACATCTTTTATGGCATGTTTTTTTTGGCAAGCATAGCCGTGGGATTGGATTAATAATCCAACAATGGGATTGGATTAATAATCCAACAATGGCATAATCTGATGTTTGGTTAAGAAAATTGATGTCCTGACTAGTAGTCTATCTAGACATAGTATATCCCCCATTATAGGGAACTATTGAATCCCAAGAGGGGGTTGGGGGGTGGGGATATAAAATGGAAGGCTAAGGAGAGATTTGGACTAATTAGTTAAATTGCGAAATTGATAGGATTTTGTCAATCATGCATAATCTAGAGTCAATCCAAACATGAGATGAGATTCACGATTGAAAGGGAGTGATAATCCCAAGACCTAATAGTCCTAGGAATGCTAATCCCATCTAAACCAGTCCGTCCAAATAAACATGGCCTTAATGTTTGCAGTACTTCTTATTGCTCAAGTGTAGTGGGTTATAATATTATTACAAAAGCGTTTTGGAATTGATGGCAGTATATTCTGGATGTGATTCTGCTCTTGTAAAATTCTTTTTCTCAGCATGTGGGTAACCCTTTCCAAATTAATTTGTTTACACTAAAGATGTCATGGAAATGTACAAAAATATTATTCTAGGCACTAATACAACCAGTTCCTTAATGTGCTGATCATCTTTTAGAGATTTGGCAAGGATAAATTTATATCATCAATTGGCGGATTCATTTAACTATCACCATTTTCTCACTATGAGAGTTAGGGTTGATAACAGGTTGGTTCGGCTCGGGTTTACCCTTAGTCCGTTAGCTGGACCAACATCATTGGGGGAGAAAATTAGTCACCTGTTGCCAACTGCCATACTGCTTGAAATTGACCGAATCAAAGAACTAGGTTTGGCAGTCAATTCAGTTGATTTTGAAAATCTGCTAGAGAAAGAGAGTGGAAAAAATTTGTAAAAAATGGAATTCAAATTTCAAAACAACAAACGAACTCATTTATATATATATATATACTTATAGATCTGTGTGAGAGAGAGTGAAGAGAAAATGGGGGAAGAAAGAGAGTTTCGGGGAAGTTTCTTAGGGTTTATGAGGGAGAGACGTTGAACGGCTATGGAAAAGTGGGATTATGAGAAGCAAAGATGAAGAAGAGAGACGAGATCGAGAGAGGAGAGTCTCTTATTTTTTTGGGAAGTTTCTTAGGGTTTATGAGAGAGTACATTGAATGACTACGGAAAAGTGGGACAGTTGTCTCAAACTTTGTGATCAAGTGCTAAGTGAGACAATCTGACTCACACTCAAACAGTGATAAGACTTAAAGATAATGTGTGTGTATAGCCAAGGCCAATATAAAAATGTTATATAAAGTAAAAAATTTTTTGGCTGGACCGGGTGTATGGCTCATTTACCCGTTTCCGATTGCAAACCTGCAAAACAATGCATCATAAAACCGCAGCCGACCGTCAATGTGTTCAAAACCATCCACGACATAATGGGTCGACCCAGGTTGGATGGTTTCAGCTGCTCAATGGGTTCTGTGAACAGCCCTAATGAGAATATTTCTAATTAAATGATTTTTTAACAGTAATTGTGGTAAAAGATAATTATTGAAGAACCTGTCCTAAGTTTGCAGATGCTAGTCTCTACTTCTATCCAGTAATTTAATTTTGTACACACTTTTTTGTGGTATTTTCTTTTTCTTCTTCTGGGCACCCATGTCCAAGGGAAGAAAGGCCGTTTTCTTTCTTTCGTTTCTTCCCTTTCTTTCCCATTCACTACTACGATTTTGGGCCCTGTTTGTGTATGTGTATATATATTTATTTTTAATTCGACATTTGTTGGTGTATATCATGACCTCTGTTCTTTTTTAAGCAAGTAATATACTTTTTCTTCTTGTGGATTCTGTTTACAGCCGATTTACTTTTCCATGGCATGTTAATATTTTGTACTAAACATCCAGGCATCATGTCTATGAGAAACGTGGAGGTCCTAAATCGGTTGAGCTGAAAGAGATTGGTCCTCGGTTTGAATTACGGCTGTATCAGGTAACTTAGCCATGCAATTCAAATCACTTTGCAGCTACATTGTTTGCTATTGTGTTATGAATTCATTTTGATGTCATTTGCTGAGGGCTATGTTTTTTGAACTGATATTGGCAAGAGTTGCATGATTTTTTATTATCCTCGCCAAGCTACCTGTTTCATACACCAAGCAGCAGTGTCAGGCATGTGCATCTCCATGTTTTAATGTTGCAGTTGTCACTGTTGACAGTCAGAAGCATTTGTTTTTCCTCTCTGCATTTCTTCTATGACAATTTCAGAGCTCTTATTTCTTGCCAGAAGATCTTGACAAACCACGACTACAACCATGTTGGTTCAATCCTTCTGTAATCTAATTACTTAAGTAGTTAATATACCAAACCAAACTAAACTTTGTGTTCCACTCAAGTGGGGTAGGTTCCATGAATACTTTTTTTTTTTCTGTTATGCTCTGTCAAGGACTACCCTATCCCATGTCAGTTTGGGGTTGCCCCTCCCCGTAACATTTCCAGTTACAGAGATTATATCATTCTTCCTTACCAATGCATCTATAGGCCTTCGTTGCACATGACCAAATCTTACCTTGTTCTCTCTCAATTTATCTTCAATTGGTGTTACTCCTAATGATTTCAAGAATATGTTCATCTTTCTTAGTCTTGCCACACATCCATCTAAGCATTTTCATCTAAGCATTTTAGTTGCATGACATTCTGTTTTGTAAAACATTGCTAGCCTTTATAGTTTATCTATAAAATTTTCCTTTTAATTTTGTTAGTATTTATTGATCACATAATATGCCAGATGCATTGTTACTTTGATTCTATGGATCACATCATCTCCAACCTCACCATCCTTATTAATAATTGAACCTATGTAACTATTTGTTATCTCCTGATTTTCAATCTTCATTTTTCAATTATTTCTACTTCTACTGTCACTAAAATTACATTTTGTATATTCAATTTTATTTCTACTAATTTTATACCCTTTGATTCTAGTGTTTTTTTTTTTAAATTTTTATTTATTTATTTATTTATTTTCATATTTATAATTTAGTGTTAAATCCTTCCTTAGTTTCATTCACAAGAACAATATCATCTGTGAACAACATAGACAATGGGATATTATCCTATATGCATTTAGTTAATTCATCCATGACTATGGCAAATAGGTAAACGATTCAAAGCTGACCCTTGATACAACTCTATAGACTAGTGATAGGGAATTCATTAGTTTCTACTATAGGTGATCTGATCATACTCAACTTTGTGTCTTCTATCTTATTAATGTACCTTTTGGTTACACATCTTTTTCTCCGACACCTTCCAAAATCATATCTCTAGGCACCCTATCTTATGTTTGTTTTAAATTTATGAAAACCATATGAATCATTCTCTCTTTGTATTTTTCTGTTAATCTTTTTAGTAAATATATCACTTCCATTGTTGAAATTGGTGATATATTGAAAATTTATTATTTATAAAAAAAGATATATTGATAATTTGATAGTGGAAAGAAAATTAATGTATTAAAATGGTCGGGATTATGTTTTCTGGAAGGGTTCCTCTGGGTTCTGATGCAGTGTATTCTCTCATAGAGGTATGAAATACTGTTGTGACTCATTTTTTAATTAGTAAATTTAACCGTGAACATGGTTTCACAAAAAGTTAAGTTCATGCAAAGATTGGGGTAAAGCTCAACTGTGATGGGTGATTCTTTTGCAATCTAGGTTGTGCGGGCATTTCTTAAGGGTCAGTGACTTCAACCTAGCTTCAACATTTCAAGTTTGGCTTCCTATGCCTGTTAAGAGAGTGCTTTATAGGTAGCATATACACCAACATGCTGAATATGCTTTTAGGAATATTCACGCAGTGTTGATGTCCAACACGACATGCCTCCATAAAAGCATCCCGTGCTTCTTTAATTGCTATCTCCTCCACTCGTGTTTCTTTCTCATTGGCTCATCAAAATATTAGTTTGTGAGAAGATTTTCTTGCCAAAACTCTAATGTTGAAAGTAGAAACTATTTTTATGATGTTTTCTAAAGATATTTTTAACATCTTTGTTTATACTTTTTTGTAGTACTATTTTTATTTATTTTTGGTAAGTGAGCTATTTCTTTGGCCCCATACCCCCGGGCGGGCTTCCCTACTATTGGATCTCGGTTTGAACAGTGTGCTATTTGAAAGAGTAAAATGTCGACACAACATAGAGAGGAAGGGAGAAAGTCTTTTCTTTTTGCAGTAAGGAATTTTTAAGTCTATTATCACATTGGATATTTTATTATCCCTTTTTTTTTTTTTGGTAGTCGATGGTTCGAGAAGGAAATGATGTCAAGGGGGCATCGTTCCCTTTCCTCCCTTACTCCATCACTGCCTAATCCTAGTTTTACCACATGGGTATCTTCAAAGCTGTAGTAGGCAAGCCCTTGATACAAACTCCCTTACTCAATCACTGCCTAGAGTTGCCTCCTTCTTGTTGTACCTGTTATGTTTTTTGCCGGCTCTTGGGCAAGTTTTTTATGAGATGGGCCAAAAACATATGGCTTGGTGCATCAAATGGCAACTTTCACAACATTCCATGAAAAATCCACCTTGTTTTTGGGTCTTTGAAGTATTTTATTAGTGAAAAAAACAACCCTAAACAAAGGGTGTTGAGAGGGGTAGATCATGTACGTATCTTTAACCAAACATTATTTGCAACATAGTGAGACCCCTCAAACTGTAACTAGTGTTGCCATACTTGATAGTTGAGCTTTTTCCATTGCACCTTGCAGTGTCCCCTAATAAAACACATGCATGATATTGCCGGAGCCTTTGATTGAATGTTTGTGTGATTCTTGGATATTAGATGTCACATTGGTTTAATAAACAAACTTTTCTGTGAATATTTTATTTATTTTATGAGCAAGAGATTGGTAATTCTTCATTGCAGATGAGTTCCTAAATACTAACTAGATGTTATTGTGATGAAACTTGAATGCTTTTGTACTGATTGCTCCTTGATAAGGAGTTTTGAGTGTTTTTTAATATGACGTTGCTAATATCTGAACTCTTCTCTCTCTCTCTCTCTCTCTCTCTCTCCAAGAAGATTATTTATAAAATCTTGACTTAACTACAGTTCTATCTGTTAGGCCACTGTCGTGCTCTTTGATTTGGAGACTTCCAATGTATTGTTTTTGTTTATTTCTTGGTTGTCCTTATTGCTGCTCTTGCCATTGCAGATCAAGTTAGGAACAATGGATCAGAGTGAAGCACAAATTGAATGGGTCATCAGACCATACATGAACACATCGAAAAAACGGAAGATTCTTGGTGATTGATACCATATAAGATACTTTTCTTATATTTCATAATTTGTTTGAGGCAACTGATTGTGCTTGAGTTCATAAATGTATCCTAATTTTGTTTGTTGGTTTCATCACTATCATTAATAGCATTTCTTTGCCGGTTAGATATTTCAATGATTGATCAGGTGTTATATATTTGACAAAAGGTTGTCATGGCATGTTTAAATTCCTTGGGTTGTTTTTGGATCATGGATTTGATTAGAAATTTGTGGAGAGAAAGGAAAAGCAGAGTTAAAAGTAACAAAAATAGAAGCTAAATTTGTCTTATCTCTTTGCTTTTTGTTTTTCTTCACAAAATTCTACTCAAATCTGAGATTCAAACAGTCTCAATTATCGAGGAAATATGATTTCCATCCGTAATCAGAATGACTATCTTTGCTCAACTGTCCTGTTTGGTCTGCATCAGGATAATGGGGCATCATATTTAGTCTCATTATAATTAAAACTCCAAATTTCTTACAGTTTTGCTTATGCTGTGTTTGGTTGGAAGATTTGAAAAGGGATTTAGAAACAGAAAGAAAAAATGTAGGTGAAATATGAATAAAATATATTTATATTTTATATTTTTTTTCTTTTTCTTTCCAAATCTTTCAACCAAACACAGCGTTGATATATTTTCTTGTGATTTTTCTTTTTCTTCTGTTTTTTGAGGAATATTTTTCTTCTTATGTGTGTATGTGGAGTTTTCATTTCCACAGCATATCTAAGAACATCAATTACTTCTTGGAAACACAACCTGCTTTTGAAGTATATTCTATAAGGACACTTCCTGTAATTATTTTGAGACATTAATGGTTTGTACAGGTGTTGGCAAAATGTTGTGTGAACTTGTTGGCTAAAAATGCCTTTGGCAAGGGTTTTTTTTGTTGGTTTATTTGTTTGATATATACCAGTAGGTGGTATCCTTTGCGTGATTAGCCATGCTCAATGCAAGATTATAATGAAATAACAATACAAGATTATTCCAAAATATATGTGAATAAAAGCAAAAATGTAACAATCATATTTAATGATGCTAATAAAAAAATTTGAAATTTCGTAAAGATATTTATAAATCATGGAAGGTTTGCTTTGGTAGCCTGTCACATGGCTTTGTCCTTGGAGAATCTGTTTTTAAGTAGTGGTCACATGGGTTTGTTCTTGTTACAAATTATTGACGTTGATGCCTTGACATGTGTTAGAGTAGTCATCGCTAAGGTCTTGAGTGGGAATGAGTTGGAGAAAGTATTGGTGAAATTGTTGGTGGTCGTTGGCTAGTGACAATTGGGGTAAGTGTTTCCTTTCCAATATGATTTCATCATTAGAATCAGAGAGAGTTCTGCATAGGCCATAAGAATCATTTTCATTTTGACAGTTTTTTTATAATTATGTTCAAATTCGTGTTTTGAAATTGAGGGATACTTATCCTTTAACTTTTGTTTAAGTTCTTGTTTAAAGTGATCATAATCAAAAGACTTTGAAGATTTGAGGCTTTAGAAAGCCATAGAAGGAGCAGGGTTAACAGATTTTCATTGTTTTGGTTGCTTGTAAAATTGGTGAAGCTGGTCTGATAATGCTCTTCTTGAATTTTATTATTCTTCCACCATTTTGTTGCAATTTGGAGGTTGAGAAAATGTGTATTATATGGATATGATATGGTATATTTATCAGGCCATAATCCAGGGATTTTGAAATCAAGGACAAAATATGAAAATTCAGGGAAAGGAGGTTCAACTTCCTTTAGATAAATATGATACAAATCTTGGAGGGGATCTGGGAGAGCAGCAAATTAGAGACCAAATTGGTGCCACCACGGTTCAAACCATGTGGGAATGTCTCCAGTAGTGATATTAAAATTGGGTCCAAAACGAATTCACCAAGAATGTTGATTTTGAAAATAAAAGACGTAAAATTAAGCATTTTGATAATCGTAATAATTATATTGAGTAGGTTTGACATATTAAAATTGGGTCCAAAAGAATTCACCAAGAATGTTAGAAGAACCGATTTTAGAAATAAAAGACGTAAAACGAAGCATTTTGATAATCGTAATAATTATATTGAGTAGGTTTGAGGTTTGAATTAGCAAATTTATGAAAAACTGACGGATGTCCCTATTTTGCTGGAGAAATAAGTTTGAGAATATGGAGTTTGGAATATTGAAGAAGGTTTTTGTCTTCCTTAGAGTAAACATAGTCAATTCTTCTTTTAGATAAAGAATCTGAATCTGCTATCGAATATACTGATAATACCTCTAATGATGAATTCCAAATCAATGAAATCGATAATGATATTCCCTCATCATAAACAGTCCGAAGATCATAATGAACCTCCTCATGATTGTCCATGCCAATCCTTAAATTTATTAATAATATTGATGATCTAGAAAAGAAACAACAAGGATCAGGTTATGTTTAAATATTCTAACTCCAAACAAATACCACTCAATCTTCAAATACTACTCAAGAATTAAAATATGATATGCATGTACGATTTGAAAAATGTCTTTGATAGAGCTAATAAAGTCCGAACTTTCTAAATCTTATTACACCATTAAATATTAGTGAATTACCAACATAGCATTATTTTCCTATTGGTCCATTTATAAAATATTCATATTCCAAAAAAGATTATTGTTATCCCAAGAAATAAAAATCAAACCAATTCTAGGAACTCGTTTGAAAATTGATTATTTTAATTAATTTTTTAATTTTTTTATGAATATATATATATATATATATATAAAATGTAATTAGCTATTTTGAATTTTTTTTTTTTTGGGAACTATTTTAGTCAAAAACCTAACTTCCCACCCAACTGCTAAAAGTTAGAGTTGAATGAAAGTTGGGCCTTTTAAATTTTTTTTCCTTGGCTGAATTAAAGTTTAAGATGTTCATGTGATTTCACCGGATAGGAACACAAATATTGGAATTGATTTTACCAGAAAGATAAACTAAGAGTAGTTCTAACAAGTTTTTAGAGAAGGATCATATTTCATCTTTTGGTAACTAAGGAATGTGTTTTTTTACATTTATTTTTTTGTCAATCAATAAAAAGGGAGATGGAATTAAGGCTAAGTTTGGGAAGTCTCAAAAAAGTCAAAAAGTTATTCAAAAAGTTAAAAAATTATCACTATTCACGAAAAGTCAACAATTACGGCTGCACAACTCCCAATAGAAAAGAAAAGAGGAAGAAGACAAAATAAAAAGAGAAAGAAGACAAATTAATGCTATTTTAGAGCTCAAACATTTTTCATTGATTTTACCAGAAAGATAAACTAAGAGTAGTTCTAACAAGTTTTTAGAGAAGGATCATATTTCATCTTTTGGTAACTAAGGAATGTGTTTTTTACATTTATTTTTTTGTCAATCAATAAAAAGGGAGATGGAATTAAATACAAATATGAAAAATTTGCACTGAAATTGCATAAAGGGCATGTTACCCATTGTCCATTCAACTGGAGCACAAAATTTCATTTGGACTTTTTATTTATTTATTAAGTTTGATTAGGATGGAATAATCTAATGGTGATATTACACGCTACTGATTATATGGTATAACCATTAAACTTTTCTTTGGTTTGTTTTTTAAAAAATTATTTCTATGCTGTGTAAGGTACAAACTATATTCTTTTGATAAATTTAAAATTTTAGAATATAAATATTCAAACAAATTATTCTGTTTAGTTTGATTTTTTTAAAAAAATTAGTTTAGACTGATTTTCCTGTATTTTCATATTTTATTTTATTTTAAATCTAAATACACCTAAAAAGTAAAATTAATTAACGAAATTATTAAAAGATATCACTAAAACAAATGAAAATCTGAACAAAAACATATGTGCATTTTTGTTTGGATTTTTATTTATTTTTAATGATTTTTTATTTTTATTTTTGTAGTTTAGTTTTTTTTTATTTTTTATTTTTTTTAACTTTTTAAATGTATCTAATTTTGATGCATGTAATTTTTTTTTATAAAAAAGAGAGGCTAAAATATAAAAAATATGATCCATTTAAATAAATCATGATTGCAAAACAAATTATCCAATTTATTAATAAATAAATTATTAAATCAATTAATAATTTTTAATGATATGAGAAATATTTTTCAATGAACAATTTTAATAATTTTATTGTTGCATGTGAAAGCAGTTAGAAATTTTATTTTCTCTATTTATTCTGTTAAATTAAAAATTATAACAAAGGGCTGTTGTAATTTCTAGAATTATAGAGGTAATCCATATCTTAAACAAACTTCAAGGGTGTATTTGTAAATTATCCAAAAACAAAATTTTCATATTTCATAATTGACCAAGACTCTTTACATAATTACGAAAAATCCTTCATCCAAATTAATCCCACCAATATTGGTAACTAATACAAAAGAAAATGACAAAATGGAAAAGTTAAAGTACAAGCCACTATTGGCAAATAATATCAAACCAAAGGGCGAAATAGGAAAAGCAAAGAGAAAGCCCCAGGAGCCTCTTATTAGTAGACGGGAGCTTCTATCTACACACACCAAATCTCCTCTATACACACACTTAATGATATTTAATTTTATTATAATTGTATCCCTAAGTGAAATTACTATCTTAGACATCATTGTTGATTCAAAACATCTCAATGCACACATCCATCTAGAGTTCACATCTGTTGCATCGTGCACACATCCATTCAATTCAAAACGTCTTCAAGTCTGTAGCTTCATTGAGCTAGAAGTGAAAGCAGAGTATTCAATCATTCGTAGCTTCTTCCAAGTTCATTGAGCTAGAAGTGAAACCAAAGGGCTTTGGCATTTCCATATTGCACATGCATTGCAGCTTCTCAATGCACTCATTCATCAACCTTCCTCATTCGTAGGGAAAACATCATTGTTATGGTGGATTTGCCTTCTGAAAATCAGCAAATAAGTGTTTATGAGAAACATAGCGAAGGAAATGTGAGTTTCTCTCTCTCTTTTTTTTTTTTTTTTTTCCAGCGTCGTTCGGATTACCAGAGTCGAATTGTATTATTTGGTTCGGAAATCTACAACCGAAATAATTATTTATTTTCGGAAGTTGTTGTCCGAACAAAGTAATTAATTTCAAAAGTTGTTGTCCGAACAAAGTATTTAAATTCGGAAGTTGTTGTCCGAACAAAGTTAACTTTTACAACATTCACTTCTGAAATTTTAAAATAAATTCGGACAACTACTTCCGAATGAAGTAAATTTTTTTTTGCCATTTTATATTCCAAATTTGCAAACTGCATACCAAATTTACAGTTTCGAATTGCAAATTAATCTTTATAATGCCATTAAAAATTTGTAATGTTATACAAAACATGTAGGAATATGTATCAACTCAAGAAAGTCAGGTTTGTGCGGATTTTGTGTTGGATTACACTACTCAATTCACAACTGAACAGGTTCACTCTACAAAATTATAATGATTATATTTCGAATTGCTCACCAAATGTAAATGTTTGATAATATTTATTTGACTTTGTAGGCATTCAAAAGTAAGGATGAATTGCTCAATTGGGTACGTGAAGTTGGAAAGAGAAATGGTTTGGTCATTATAATCAAAACATCAGACTATGGTGGAGGGAAAAAAAGACCTATGATGTATCTTGCTTATTAGAGGAGTGGCCAATATAGAGTGACAAAAAAGTTAAAACATGATGGCAACAATACATCAAGAATAACCGGTACGAAGAAGTGTGGTTGTCCTTTTGATATGAGGGCTCACAGGTTTACCACATATAATGAATGGACATTGACCGTAGCATGCGGATTGCATAATCATCCACCTGCGGAGCACCTTGAGGGACATTCATATGCGGGGAGGCTATCAAAGGATGAGAAAGCATTGTTAATGGATATGTCAAAGAGCATGGTTCGGCCAAAAGAAATCCTAGTAACCTTGAAACAGTGAGATGCCCTTAATGTAAGCACACTTAAAACCATTTACAATGTACGCCATCGAAACAGGGTGGTACAGAGAGCTGGAAGATCATAGATGCAACACTTATTGGGTGAATTGGCTAAGTATAATTACATTAAGCGCCATCGGTCTGAAGAGTCCACGATGACTGTGACAAACTTGTTTTGGGCACATCCTACCAGTTTGGACTTATTTCGGTCTTTCCCACGCATATTAATTATGGATTGCACATATAAAACCAACAGATATCGTCTTCCTCTTCTTGAAATTATGGGAGTGACATCAACTAAAATGACATTCTCTGTAGCTTTCGCATACTTATAGTATGAGAGGGTCGATAACTATGCATAGGTGTTAGCTACATTGCGTGATGTCATGGATGGTTTTGTTGTGCCAACAATTATTGTTATTGACAGAGAGCTAGCCTTGATGAATGCCATACAGAAGATATTCCCGAGTGCCAGACATTTGTTATGTCGTTGGCATATCAGTAAGAATGTATTGACCAAATGCAAGAAAATGTTTGAGACACAGCAGAAATAGGAGAAGTTCAACCATGAGTGGAACTCTTTAGTGTATTCATCTTCTGAAATTCAATACGATGAGCATCTTAAATAATTACTTAAGGAATTCAGTAGTTATCCTGATGCAGTCAAATACGTCATGGATACTTGGTTGGTTCCTTACAAGGACAAATTTGTGGCGGCATGGACAGACACGTGTATGCATTGTGGCAATGTTACAACGAACCGGTAAGATTACTTTTCTTCAATATGTTATTAATAAGTGCCATGTACTTGATTTTAATTTGACTTACATTGAATTGAATAGGGCTGAGAGTGCACATGCAAAACTTAAAAGACAATTGGGTTCATGTCAAGTCTCATTTCAGGCATCATTTGAGAAAATACACAGTCTGCTTGAGTTGCAACACACTGATATCAAGGCTTCATTTGAGAAAAGTCTAACTGTTGTGCAACATCAATTTAAACCTTCTCAGTTCAGTGGGCTACGGGGTAATGTGTCTATCTCTGCATTGGAGTATTTGCTTGTAGAAAGTAAGAGAGCCAATTCCATTGGTATTTATGTTGAAGCTTGTGGATACGTCCTTCGCCACACTCATGGTTTACCTTGTGCCCATGAGATTGCTGACTACATCAGACAAGATCGTCCTATACCACTTGCTACCATACACTCACAATGGAGGCAACTTCATATCTCCATATGCAAAAAAGAAGAGGAAACAGAAGTGAGTTGTCATGCAGAAGTAGAGTTGTTTGTGAACAAGTTTAATGAAAGTGATAGAACCATGTGGTTGGAGCTTTTGAAGAAGTTGAAAGAGATTGTATATCTGGGAAGCACTTTTCTTGTTGAGCCGGAGGTGAAGCCCAAAACACGTCCTCGGGATCATAAGAAGATCAATGTTTCTACCCGTCGTGACTCGTGTGCATTTGAGTTGGTGCAATCTGGACATGATTCCTTCTCACCTAGGGACACTCAAATCACTACATTAGCTTCTACTCTGCAAACTAAGAAGAAGAGACCTGTTAAGGGAAAGGAGAAGGTGAATCTGAAAGGGAAGGTATACATTATTAGAACAATGAAACCTGGTGCATATGTTGATGCTTTCCCTTCTGGGTTGAAACCATACATTAAGTTTGTCAAGGATGTAGCTGCAGATGGGAATTGTGGTTTCAGGGCTATAGCTGCTTCAATTGGTCATACAGAAGATGATTGGGCTCAGGTTAGGCGTGACCTATTGGGTGAGCTGCACACACACAAAGAGGAATACATTACACTTTATGGGTCCTACGAAAGGTTTGAAGAATTGACAAGCATATTGTCATACTTTGAAGACAGTCCTGGATACTCACATTGGATGACTATGCCAGACATGGGGCATCTTGTTGCATCGTGCTACAATCTTGTGTTATACCACTTGTCTTTACAGCAATGTCTCACCTTTTTACCTCTTAGAACAGTGTCAGTACCTCAACTTGATAGACGTGAGATTGCCATTGAGTTTGTCAACGAAAATCATTTTGTCCAGGTATAACAGAAACTTATAAATTGGGTTTGTGCATGTACAAGAAGTTATGAGGTATGACCACTAACTCAATTGATATTTGGTGCAGGTTTGTTGCAGCCAGGCCATCCAGTTCCTCCTATAGCCACTAATTGGCGAAAATACCGTCACCATTGCGCTGTCGACTGGGATGATGCATATGTGCGTCGCATTCAACATGTCAAGGACATTATTCATGATAATGTAGCTACTCGAGAGTCATTTGATGTTGTTGATGTCGCAAGACACATGTATGCATTTGACAATGTTAGAATTATGGAAGAAATTAATGGATGTGTTTTTGATGTTGATGTGTTCTGTTTTGCAATTTGGATTGAATGTTATCGACCATTGTTACCATTCCATTGTAATAAGAAAATATCATTTACAAAATCAACGACCATTGCTACCATTCCATTCTAATAATAAAATGTCATTACAATGTCATTACAATACCATTGTTGCCATTTCATTCTAATAAGAAAATATTAACCGCTGTTACCATTACAATAATGTCATCTTACAAAAAACACCAAAAAACATGTGTATGCCTACGCCTAGGCCTACGACTGTATGTCACGAATCAGCTGTATGCCTACGCCTAGGCCTACGACTGTATGTCACGAATCAGCTGTATGCCTACGCCTAGGCCTACGACTGTATGTCACGAATCAGCTGTATGCCTACGCCTAGGCCTACGACTGTATGTCACGAATCAGCTGTATGCCTACGCCTAGGCCTACGACTGTATGTCAATGTCCATACTCTCGATAGCCTGGTAAAGTCGATACGGATGTCGAATCTCCTCTTCATAACCAGCGTCAATAATAGGATGTGAAATCTGCAGTGCATGTGCAATACGCTGCATTTGAAAAGAATATCACATTTTAGGTAACATATCAGAAAATAAAAAGTAAGTTACAAATGCATAAGAGAGGATAATATATTACATCGACATGTTGGCTGAAATCCTGATGGTCATGGACACGCGGTTCATCAGTGTGCTTAACATATAGGTGCGTGATATTCTTATACCAATCCATGTAACCCGGTATACATTCCCAAGGCTGACGAACTGGTGTGCTCCACTGCTGCTTAGATAACACGTGGTTATCCCAAGCCTCCCAGATCCTATCCAAGTATCTATACATGACTATATATCGTGCAGATATGTTGCCTCGAGCACCACGACTGGGAGCTAGCGGTGCATCTAGGATGGTTTGAACCCTGCCAAACTGCCTCAGAACTCTATCTGGATGATAGGGTTCGACCATGTCTAAGCACTTTAAGCATCCATGGTAGAACGTAACTGGGTTACATGGATACCGGTCTCTACAACTGTGGTATGGATCCCAAATAACCTATAAACGTAAAGTGTTTTTGAATTAAAGTATATAAAGGGTAAGATAAATGAAAAGTGTTAAAATTATCTCAGGATGAGTAAACTTACATCAGTAGCTACCAAACTGTCAAGCTCGGCTCGAAAAGATTTCAAATGATCAATGGAGGAACCCGTCTCTCTCCTAGATGCCCAATGGTACACGTGTGGCATGTCTTCATTGTAGCCCATGTTCTGGTGAGGTCGGAATGCTCGGAAGTGCTCATAAATCCACGCCTCCAAAAGAGTCATAAAACCACCCATCTGCTTAACCCCGGACCTGCTAGCATACCCCAACTGTCTGTATAAAAATGCTAATGCAGCAGCACTCCAGGCGTAAGTATCAATAGATCCCAAATCCATCAATAAGCCAAGGTAAACAACATGAACCTTGCCGCTACTCTAGTCACTGAAGAGTGTACATCCCAACAGAAATATCAAATAAGCTCTAGCAACGCACTGTATAGCCTCCTCGGGGTCTGAATCTGTGACACCAGCAACCTAACTTCGCAACCACTCAAGCCTGACTGAATTGTCACCAGCAGTAGAAACCTCTTCATACACTACACGTTCAGTAATCCCCAAGCCATAAACGAGTAGTGTAACTCCATGATGATCTGTCACATTTGGTACGCTGACTGATTTGCCTACAATGGGAAGGCCAAGAATAGTGCCAACATCATCCAGGGTCAAGGTCATCTCACCAACTGTCATGTAAAATGTGTTCGTCTCAGGTTGCCATCTCTCAACAAAATTGGAGATTAGAAGCTTCTTGACGAACCGATAAGTGAAACGAGCTAACTGTGATAGCCCAGATTGCTCAATAATGGCTTTGAATCTGGTGTTGTTGTCTACTGACCACCATGGCCACGTAAGGATCTTCGAAGAGTGATTATGACACTTTAGGGGCCCTCGTTCTTATAACACAAATAATATCTCATTAGAAACTACCATACAACACACACAGGAAAAAAAAAATTTCATATACAAATGAATTTCACTTCTACTTAGGAATGTTTACCTCCCCGTGCCAAACAGCTACAGCGACATGACTATTGAAACTCCGCAGTATTGATGGATCATTCAGTCCACCTGGAAAAGCATGAGTAAGGTCCTCTTCCTGGACAGGAGGATAATCAGGTAAAGAGGCATCCTCCACAGCAATGTCAGGCATATCATAACCTTGAACTCGTCTTTGGTTTCCGCTCCGACTTTGACTGGCATTGGGGATATCATATTCTACCGAAACTGGATCACGACCTCGACCACGACCTTGACCTCGTCCTCGCCCATGCCCTCGTTCCCGTTCATGGTCTATATCCAATTCACGACGTCGTCTATTTGAAGCAGTAGGTGGGACACGTTGTTGACATTCAGAATCTATATTATCTGCAAAAAAAATAAAGAATGGCCATGCAAACAAGTGAGTGTGTGTAAAATTAATGAGAGTATGTGTAAAATTATAATAAGTGTGTGTAATGAGTGTATGTAATGAGAGTGTATGTAAAATTATAATAAGTGTGTGTAAATAAGTGTGTAAAATTATAATAAGTGTGTATAATGAGAGTGTGGGAAATTATAATAAGTGTTTAACAAAATTATAATAAGTGTGTGTAAATTATAATAAGTGTGTTTATTAAGTGTGTGTAAAGAGGGGAAATGTGAAAATATAAGCTCCCTTTAAACAACAATATACAACAGAAGGGAAAAAAAAAAAAAACCTGTTCGGAAGTTTACAACCGAAAATACATATTCTGTTCGGAAGTTGAAATCTGAAACACAAACATAATTTCGGAAGTTGAGTGTTGTCCAAATTCAAATTTTTCGGAAGTTGACTATCGAAATAATGAAACATTTTCGGAAATCTACTGATGAAATTATTGATTATTTTCGGATTTCTACGTCCGAACAAATTGTTATATTTTGGAAAACCAGTTCCGAACGACGGTTACAAATGAAAAACTCTACATTACAAGTGAAAAACTCTACATTACAAATGAACATGGGGTATGCTAGCCGTTGGGAGCTATTTGGCAAATGAAAAAAATTAAAGATCGGTGAAAAAAGTTACCCCAATTGTGTGAAGCAGGGAGCTATTTGCACCGTTGGGAGAGCAATGTGAGAGATGCAGCATAGCTTCAATGGGTGTATTTGCACCGTTGGGAGAGCAATGTGAGAGATGCAGCTTCAATGGGTGTGCACCGTCGGCAAGAGCTGGGTTTGAGGGTGGGTGTGTGTGTGTGTGTGTGAGAGTGTGAGGGTAGATGTGGAATCAAATCTGTGTGCAATGAGTAAAAGAATTAGGAATGATTTTTTTTGGTGTGTATAGTGAGAAGGATGTGCAAAGAGGGTATTTGGTGTGTGTAGATAGAAGCTCCCTTAGTAGACATCATGAGTATTAGTACCCCAATTAATAATTTGAACCCCCTAGTTTTTTCGCTTTTTATTACAATATAATTTCAAATGAAATTATTAAAAAGCGCATAAATTATTTTGGGACACATTGTCTCACAATTAAACCCATTCACTCGCAAAATCATAATATAAAACTTATGAGAGCACCCACCTCCATTACTATCCATACACTTCAAATCTCTCAAAACTTACACACCCTCAAAACCTTCAAAATGCTTTGATAACTAGTTTTCTAGTGACTTCTGATGACAACTACTAGAAAGTACACACTTTTCTGACAAAATCAATGAGTAAATATTTTTTCGACAACTCCAGTACAATGAGATAAATGGAGCATCACAATATAAACTCAAAGGAGGTTCACAGCTTGGATGATGTTTGCAGTTCGGAGGAGGTTGAAATCAATTTGAATTTTTTTCAGTACTGAACTTCCTAACATATGCAAAAAAAATGGCAACATAGGCCAAATTAAAGGTATTGGTTCGACAGTGTCTAACCGAACATGGTTCATATGTTTGGCACTTTAAGTGTAACATTAATGCATACTTATGTTTTGGTTCTACGATGAACTTTAGTTTTATTTGTTAATCAAACTAGCTGATCATGCATATTTATCTTTTTTGATGGGCCATATTTGTTCACAAACACAGGACTTCTTGTTTTCATAGTGCACGGTAACACAAGTTTGAACATGTACAAATTGTTCGGTAATAGATCTGAGCATGGTAGTTGAGAAATCGACAACATAGAGAGTTTGGCTATGAAAGAGATTGACGATAGAGAGAGGTTGGCGGTGAGAGATCGGTTGTGAGAGATAGCTTGTGACAAAGATTAGCAGTGGAACTCTGTTAATGGTGAGAGAGAATTTGAGTTTAATAGTGAGAGGTCAATAGTTGCCGATGAGAGAAAGCTTGAGTTCAATGGTGAGAGTTCAACAGATGAAGGGTTTTTAGGAGATATGTTAAGGGGTGTGTATTTTGATCGGTATGATGTTTTTAGAAGGATAAGTTTGATATTATTTGAATAGTCCTTAGAAATTTTTAAGATTTTAAATTTTTAGAGATCCAAAGAAATGAAAGGTCTAAAATATTAATTGAGTGCTAATAATAATAAGCAATATATACTTCTAGTCTAGGAGACAACAAAATAAACAGACAAGGCTCATAGGATACTACTAGTTGTGAGGTCGTGGTTTGCACGATGACCTATGCCCGTGGCTCAAGCAAATTTTAACTTGAAATAAAATATAGCAGACCATTTTATTTTATAAAGGTATTTGAAAGGGAAAAAAAAATAGTATCGTTAGAAGCTACTTTTGAAAACAAGGAGAGAAATAATGGCAACTCCCAAAATTTTCTACATAGATTAAGACCCTGTCACATATCATACATGAATAGCACTAAACCAACTACCATCATCCAAAAGGTAAAACCAACTGGAAATAGTTTGAAAGTAAAAAATGTTCTAAATTAACGTCTTGTACATATATTAAAGAGAGTATCAACTTAACAATGGTCAAAAGTTATGCGAAGAAAAAGCATTGAAGAAGCGTCAATAGAAAAGGTGTTCACATGCCTTGTTTAAAAATATCAAGACTGAAACAAAAAGAGATGTAGAAGAGAGGAAGTAATTGCATGTATATTTGAGTGTTCATATGTTCTACTGAAATGCTGAAATTGAAAGAGTTGCAGCCAAATGTCACTTGTTATATATTAGTTACTAATCATAATAATAATAATAATAATAATAATCTCCATGTTTTTGTTTTGTTTCCTTTCTTGATTCCCATGCTGGAATCTAATGCTGTGTTTAGTTGGAGGATTTGGAGAGGGATTTGGAAAGGGAAATGGAAAAGGTAGGTGAAATGTGAATAAAACATGCCTATAGTTCACATAGTTTCACACACCTTTTCCCTTTCCCTTTTCAAATTCCTCTCCAAATCTCTCAACCAAACACAGCATAAAAGAATCTCTACATTTTCATTTGGAAGGAATTCAATATTTCATTTTTTCTCCATTCACTTGGAATTCAAATTTTTAGCCTGATTCCCACATAGAAATCTTAAGCAAATGAGTGTGCTCTCATCTACTATAAATAGAGGAAGGACTTTCCATATTCCTTCAAGTTTCCATTGGAGGTCTTCCATTGAAGATATCCATGAAGGAGAAATTTGGAAAGAGAAAAGGAAAAGTTAGGTGAAATGTGAACAAAATATACTTACATTTCACTTAATTTCACACACCTTTTCCCTTTCTCTTTTCAAATCCCTCCCTAAATCCCCTAACCAAACGCAGCATAAAAGAATCTCTACATTTTCATTTGGAAGGAATTCAATATTTCATTTTTTCTCCATTCACTTGGAATTCAAATTTTTAGCCTGATTCCCACATAGAAATCTTAAGCAAATGAGTGTGCTCTCATCTACTATAAATAGAGGAAGGACTTTCCATATTCCTTCAAGTTTCCATTGGAGGTCTTCCATTGAAGATATCCATGAGAAGGAGCTTCTAGTTCTTTTGATATACATATATATATATATATATAAAGCAAAGAAAAGAAAGAAACAAATAAAATATTTAAGTATATGGAACGCTAGTCGGTTTATGAATGCTGGGAATTAGTTTAAACTTATGAAATTCAAGTAGTGTCTATAGAGGATGGATGCACCATTTCCTTGGTTGGTGTGTATTTGAGTTCCATGTAAGGAATCTTCTCAACAGTCCATAGACACTTTGGCCTTGTTTGGTTTGTGTTTTTTAAAATTTTTGAAAAAAATTCTCTACAAATAAGTTTTCAAAAGTAATGAAACCAAACAAATTTTTCTAATTTTTTTTTTCAAAACTTGTTTGGTTTACAATTTTCCAAACAAATCTCTCTCTCATACATATCAAATCAATCATTTTTTTCAAAATTCTTTATCAAAATAATTTTCTAAAACATCTTTTGAAAAAAATTAAATCAAACAACTTTTCGTACTTTTTATCTTTAAAACTCATCTCCCAACTCAAACCAAACATACCCTTTGTTTTTTCTAGTTGTATTGTTTTCTGAAATAAGGCATCGGATCATAGAGATATGAAACTAAGCATCATAGATGTACCTTACCTTTGAGTGTTCTGTTTTTCTTCTTTAACGAATCTGTTATCTTTTCATACACAATTTATATACAACAACACTAATACTATATTACCATATTTTTCAATTTGCAACAAAGCAATGATGTACGTACCATTACGGCTTGAAGAAACTGCTGGCCAACAATCCTAGTAAACTATGAGATGAAGATGAGAAATTTGTTCTTTATATACCATTGTAGAGTTGGATTTCCTTTGGGATTCTAAAATACTCTTTACATCCCTCCTTTTTATATTCAAGACATTTCTAGCAATAAACAAACAACGGGAGAAAAAAATATATGAAGATCCATAAATAAGTATCGCCAAACGCTAAGAAAGTAATAATATTGTCTCAAGAAGACGAAATAAATAATCCCACACCCAAAACTTGGAACAAGCATGGATTCCCCGGTCAGCCACCTCGGTGGCTCATTGGGTGGCCCATGCTTTCCTCATGGACCAACTTCCTCTTGATTGGGTTTCTGTTCCCCATAGCAATTTTGGTTGGTAGTTGTTAGCTTTTGTTTTGGCTTTGGTTGTAATTTCTTTGTTCAAAAAAAAAAAAATAAAAAATAAAAAAAACAAGGAAACTCGTTTTGTTCAAACTTATGCTGTATTTGGTTAGAAAATCTGGGAAGAGATTTGGAAGGAGAAACAGAAAATGTAAGTGAAATGTGAATAAAATATACTTACATTTTACATAGTTTCACACACTTTCTCCGTTTCTTTTTCCAAATCCCTTCCCAAATTCCTAAACCACACGTAGCATTAAGGAATTTCGAGATTCCCATGTCAATTTTGTTTTAGTTTCCACTAAGGCTGAATTGAAAAGAATATTAGTTCCATGCATTAATATATCCAACATTAAAATGTCCTATAATATATCATTTATAATTGAGCCATAGATTACATTGAAAAACATAAAAGTAATTGATGTGCTGTCAACCATATATCATTCTCTATTGGCATTTGGCACAATCTTTTCAATCATATTGCAAACATAGCCTTTCTATAGCAATCAGGAATTAAGAAATCATGAGAAGTGGGCAGAATATTGTCACAATATAGTCATTAAGTACAAATCAATCATCAATTATTCAATTTTGATTTCCAAAAAAAAAAAACCAGAAAAAAATAAATAACAGTAAATTTTAACAAATTAAAGTAGATAAATGATATACCGCAAAACAAGTTTGGAAATATAAGACCATCAGCTTGATTAAACCAATTGAAATTAAAAAGTCAGCCAAAAAAAAAAAAGAAGAGTAAAATCAAATACATGTAAAAAATCTAAGATTGATTGAGAATTACAGACGGGATATAAATCGAGAAGGTTGTGTCATCAAAATATTCAAGCTTGAATATCTCAGGAACTTGAGATGCAAGGAAAAATGAGAAAATTAGTTCATAAATAATGAGAGTTACGAAGTCCGACTTCCTGGGACATTCTAAGAAAACTAAAACAAAAACTAAATCAAATAAACAAGACAAAAAACCCAAAAAGGTACAGAATATATGCATAAGGAATAATAAAACCTGAAAGTGTAAAAATATATATTATATACATTGCCAAATCTAACAAAGAAAAGGAAGAAAGAAAAATTAAGAATGAAAGGAAAGAAAAATTGAAACAAAAGTGATAAACAAGGGAAGAAAAATGCTTGGGACCTCTAATTAGAGGTGCCACTAATGATGTGGCAGTGGATCCCACCCACTGTCACTGTTAGTGCTGTGTCTGTTTTTTTTTTTTTTTCCCACTGCCACATCATTAGAACCACCACTAATTAGTGGTCTAAAGCATTTTTTTTTTTTTACCTCATTAGAGGTGTGTTTAGAACTTTAAATTAGAGGCCTCTAGCATCACTGAACAAAGGAAACATATAGAAGATACAGTGACTCTGGAAAGGTTGAAAATCATCTTTCCATGTACAAACACAATGTCAGGAAAAGCTGATAGGTAAAGATCTACCGACCGTAGGTCCAATATTATGCCGGAAATGTAGATCTATAACAATAACAAAGAAAAAATCTTTACCAAAACTAAACAACAAAAACAAAAAATTCTTACTTTCAAAGCAACAAATCACAAAGAAGATGGACAAAACCAAAATAAGAAGAAAAAAGAAAAAAAGAGAACCTCATGAACAAAAACAAATTTATCCATCAACAAAAGTATGCAAAAGTCTCCTACTCCACAAATTTTTAGGAAAAAAAAAAAAATGAGAGAGAAAAAGAAACTCAAAGAAATTCACACGAAGTAATATTATGAACATAGAAATCAGATCCAACAAAGGCCTCCAGAAGGACATTTCTCATAAGCTCATATAAAGAAGAAAAAAAATCAGACAACCACAAATGGATACCCAAAAACAAATTTCAAAGAAAACTCTATATCTCTTCACATATAGGATTGAAAATCAAATCAAATATCACTTCTAAGCAAAAGACAAATAGAAACAATATAGTGGTTACTATTTCTAAAAAAACATAAAAATTATTTTTTAATTAAAAAACCAAACAACCCTACATGAAAGTGCCAAAAAAAAAAAAAAAATCTATGCAGCAAAAATCAAAGTTTTTTATTTTATTTTATTGAACATGTAGATTTATATGAATAAGCCCAGTCTTATAAAAGAAAAAGAAGGTAGTTAAATTCAAGTGAAACACATAGCTCAAATAAAATAATTGCAGAGCAAACCAAAACAATAATCAAAGGTCGAAAAAATAATTAGAAAATATAAGACTTAATTTCCTTAATGAGGGTCTATTTGTTTTCTTTGCACTGAACATAATGAATTATTGTAGGTACTAACCAAAAGTGAGTAAAAATGAGAGGAAAATAGAGTACATTAATGAGTAGAGGCCAACAACCCATAATATATCTCTGAACTCTCTAGCCGAAGTGAACAAAACAGATGAATTGTTTGATAAATAAAGGAGCCAAAAGTATTAGAATAAAAGAGTATCCAAATCAACACTCATTCAAAATGGTTTTTCTTTCTTTTGGGTAAGGATTGTCTCCATTCCGGTTTCGGATTGGACCGTACTGTTGGACCTCTATGGGCCCACCGTGGAACCTACATCCATGATTCGAACCGTCAATATATAAGGTTCATTGAGTACTTCATCCCTACAAAAAATCACGTTGCTCGGATATCGATTGTTACTTGATTAGATCATATTTCTATTAACAATTTTTTTTTTTTATAAATCATATTGAACGTTCACATAAATGTTTATGATCAAGTGACTATCGATTTTTGATTACCGTGATTTTTTGCAGGGATGAAGTATGACGCGCCTTATACATTGAATGGTCCAGATTATTGATACAAGCTTCGTGGTGGGCCCACAGGGCCCAACAGTACGGTCCAGTCCGATTACGGACTAGATTGGACTGAACACAAGCCGCACTCTTTTCTTTTTGACCTTATGGTGAAGTCAGACAAACAAGATACTAACAATTCAAATTCAAGATTAATGACACAAACATAAAAACACACACATATATATATATTCTTGGCTTGCATATATATGACAAGAATTACACTTCTATAGAGAGAATAGATAAAGGAAACCATTTACGTTAAAAAACAAATCTTGCAGAATTCAAAAATAAAAAAATATTTCAAAGTCACACACATTCTTTGTCATAGCAAATACACCACATACACATATTACATAGCGTTGGAGTAACCACCCAACATTGTAAGTCCCACTCGAAATTTTTATACATAATGGAAAAAAAGAAATGAAATAGAGCACTTGTATGGAAATGAAGAATTGCAATTAACCTTGAATGGCAAAAGAAAGAACAAAAGTAATAAGACATCGATTTCAATTTGAAATCTAAACAATGATAAAAATGTCAAGATAGAAAATCTAGTAACCCTAGTGAGAGGGAGATTTGTGCCAAATAGTGCGCCGAACTACATCGACGTAGAACGTGGTGTTGGGGCCTCGTAAGGAGAACTTGGGATGCATTGTTGGGCTGAACTGGGTCTACACTAAATATAGTGCTAAGCCGGATCAAGGCTGCCTGGGATGTATTGGGCCGAGCTAGACCAACACGGGACATGGTGTTGGGCCGAGCTGGACCCACGCTAAATGTTACGCCATGCCAAACCCAGCCGAACTGGCTTGTATCGGTGGGCAGAATTGCCCCAGCATTGAGGTCCAAGGTAACAGAGTCACGTGAAGACCGAGCTGAGGATTGATCGGGTTGCTATCACCGAGGCAGGTGGTCCGTGAGACCGCGGTCAGAAGCCGAGATGCCAAACGATGTGCCCGCCTCCAGTCGGTTATGATAGGCCAGTTAAGATCTAGCTTGGCACAGAGCGACAAATGTAATGTTATTGGTTCACAAGTAACAGCCAAGTTGAGCATTCCACGTGGACCAATAAAGAGAAGAAGGAAATCCACTTCTGGAATGCGTCAATACCGTTTGGTAGTACGACAAGCACTATTTGGAGATTTTGGTCTTTACAAGTGTAAGAAATGTAGAGGGAAGCATAGTTGCCAGTAAAGGTAGTGCGTCCACAATCTTTGAGGCAGCATGACTAGCCTTGAAAAGGAGGAGCATGTAGACGTTGGAGGTAAGCAATTTCGAACTCTCTCTCTATGGCTTCTCTCTTCTCTCCAAATAAGCTAACTTGGCTGTCGGAGGGATTTTCCGGCAAACCCACCCGCCGGGTAGCTCACCTTTGTTTTGTTCACAACGTGATGGAGTTCTAACGGAGTGAGACGAGCTTAGTAGCAAGGAGGTACGGAGCGAGGTGAATATTTCTCTCCCTTACACCTAGTTTTAATGTGTATCACAAAAATCATAATATGAACTAATTTTATAATCAAGATCACTAAATTAAGACAATTAAAACAAAACTATTAACCTCAGATGCATGATGCAATAACAAAATATCACAAAATCTTGGCCTAACATATATATATATATACATTTAATTTTTTTTTTTAAAAATAAAAATCAATAGAGATATAACGGGAGAAACCCGTCGTCTGGATCGTGAAGCTGTCTGAGTCGAAATGGTCACCCATAGTGGCCCAGACTTGCAGATCTTCCTCGTATCCATCGTCATCATTTTGGCATTGTTAGGAAGAGTGAAATAGAGATTGAAACAACATGGCATGAGAGAAGAGAGAGATGGGAGTAGGATGTAAGAAAAATTAAAAAAATGGATCCAATCAATTGAATTGCACCAAATTTATTATATTTGGTTTTTTTTTTTTTTAAAAAACAAATAAAATTTTTAAAAATTTAAAAGGGAAATATTTAATTTTTAATAGGTTCAAACCCCCCCCCCCCAAAAGGTCGAATCAACTTTATGAATAATTTGATAATATTAATAAATATAATAAATTATTAATCTTAATTAATTAACTTTATCACTCTTATAGTCTAAGTTTGTAAACTTTTATTATATATAATGTTAACTCTAACTCATTATTTTTATAGTCTTAGTATTTTTAATTTTTTTTTGTTTATATTTTTGTTAATTTAGAAATTAAAAAGTATTTTTTAAATGGATAAATTGGATATGTTTAAACTGGTGGACAAATAACTAATTCAATATTTTTACATATATTAATGATTATACTAAAAAGTAGTTCAAATTTAAAAAGTCCTAAACCAATTAAACTGAACTATTTTAATCGGTTCGATTCGATATGATTTGATAAAAGAAACCGTCTATATTATACTCAAAATAATAAAAATAATATTATCAATTTGATAAAATTTTTTACCAAAATACCAATCCTACCAAATTGAATGTCTCTAAATGGAAGTCAGACAATTTTGAACCAGTTTTGAATCCCATCACATCTCACATAAAATATTAAAAAAATAGTTAAAAAAAAGAAAAAAGAGCGATGATTTAGAGCACTAAATTTGAAACTCTAAAAACATTACTAATGAGGTGGCGATGCAAAAAAAATAAAAATAAATAAAACAAAGACCAAACTATCACATCAATAGTAGAGTCCATATGATATTACATCATTAGTGATACATTAGTGGTACTAAATTAGTGATCTGAAACATTTTTCAAAAAAAAATGTCAACCATGTATTTTGCAAGGATTTTTGGTTTGCCATTTTCCTTATTATTTGGCCCCCCACTCCACTCCCCTACACGCCACGCCACCAACAGAGAGAGAGAGAGAGAGAGAGAGAGCGCTCCAGTAATGGCAGCGAACAACTCGGGTGACTCTTCCCAACGGTAAGTCAACACATAAACCTTTCTTTTGTCTTAATCTCATTTCACAGATTTCAAGCCTCTTTTTGTTGCTATATTGTGTTTATTATGTGTGATTTGTGGTTATATCTTTTGCTTCAATCATGACCTACCTGATTTGAGTTTGATGAATAAGTTCATCAGCATCTCCAACCCTTCACCAATTTTTTCACCTCATTTGATTCGTAAAAAGATTGATTTAATATGAACTACTCCAATACTTTCATTAATTTTTCATCAAAATCTTTTTAAAAATTCCTCTCCTATCTCAAATTTCCCTTTTCATCAAATTTGAGGGAAGAGAAAAAAAAAAAAAAATGATCTCCAATGTGTCATCTTTTTAAATTTTTATCAAATTCAAATTCGATCAAGGATTTGATGAGTTCTCAATTTGATGAAAAAATTGAGTCTCTTGATTTGCTGAACCTTTGATGGATTTTTTTTTGTTACTATCAAATTTAAATTTGATGAAAAAAAGGGTGAAAGATTTGAGATGATCTTATGGTTTTAGATTAAAGTTTGTGAATCTAACTGGGAATCATTCATCTGGTTGAGTACACACTTTGTGGTATTTGCCCACATGATTAGGTCTATTCTGGCAGCAATATATTTATGCTGATCTCGGATGGAATTTATTTGATCATGTTACCTCAATAATGGGTGGGAATTTGATTAGTTGACAAGTCTTTAAAATTATGAAAACTTAAATTTAAATTTATTGAGGTCAAGTTTACTTATGTCCCCACTCAGACTATTTTCATTGTTAATTGTGCTGTGTACTGTGCATGCTTTCTAGCAGAATTTGTGGCCGATTTACAGTAGTTTGAATTTTTCTAGTATTCTTTTATTGATATAAAATAAAAATAAAATCCAAAGTTTCTGTGGTTTTGAATTTTTCTTACATGAGTATATGTTGTACACACAAATTTCAAATTGCAGCAAAGACACGAAAAAGTAGCACAAATATTCGATATCGATTTTATTAACTAGAAAAGTATGGGTACAATCCTGTATGGTCTGTCTTATTACAAAAGGAAAAATTTCTAATTTGATCTCTAAAATTAGATGCAATTCCCTGGCTGTAAAAGCTTCTTGTTAAATTGTAAAAGCTTCTTGTTAAATCGAAGTAGTTGAATTTCTATATGTTTTCGAATTAATAAGCTTGAGGAAAAGAGACTTGATAGAGAACTTGAATGTCTTGATCTCAAACAACTTCAAAATGATTTTTCTAAGAGAAGAAATCAAAATGATTTACAAGTCTGGACACGTAGAGATTAATTGATGTGAGAAAACTTAAAAGAAATGGCACACGTTTAAAGTGCTTGATAATTCCCACTAGAGTCTTGAAAAAAGAGCTTTGAAGATTTTGGCAGAGCCTCGAGAATGCTTGAGAGCTTTTGCAAGATGTTGGCCCAATGGTCCCTTATCCATTAATGTGAGCCTCTATTTATAGGCTCAAGTGGAGTGATTTTAATTTGGAAAACCCCTAATTAGTGCTTTTGATTGCAAATCAAAGAGAAATTTATCTCCCTTGACTTTTGACAATAAATTTAACATTAAATTTGATTTGAAATTTGGATAGGTTTCCAAACAACATGTACACCATTGTGATGCTAACATGTGTAATGTGGGATCCGGATTCTTGGATTAGTCCAATTAGCTGACCATGTGGTGGCCCTTTCATTATGGTATGACCCATATTTGATATGAGTTAAGTTCCATGATATTGGTAGTACCCACATTTCTTATAAATCTTTGACCAATCAAGATTAAAAAACTTCAATTTTAAGTTATTGTGTGTGAATGAAGCTGTTCAATAACTATCTTCTTCTATTTGACATGGTGAATATCTCTAGTTTTGAGATATTTAATTTGATTATCCCAAATTCAAACATTTTTCTTTATTAATGACCAATTAAAAAAATTGTTAAATCATTCATTTTTTTCTTTCACTTTTATTACTGTCCAAATATACATTACAAGCAATTATTTTTATCCGGAGTTCAATTTTGGTTTGTTTGGAGCTTCCCAACTGAATTGAATCTGTATTACTTAACTGATTGTTTAAATTTAATCCCATGGTCTCAAAGTCAATTGCTACTTTTGTAAACTAATGATTTTCTCTTTATTGTTGTATTATTCAATGGAGCTTAGAGTGTTATTTTTATTGAGAGGGTTAGAAAAGGCAAGCAATAAGAACTGTACAGTAATTGGCTTATCAAGACTAAAGATAGACGGCCTGATAATTGTTGATTTGAGCTGAATGTAGCAGGCTTTCCCTAGGAAGCACTGATACGGATACGGGATACGGATATAATACGATACGGATACGGCGATACGACAAAATTTGAAAAACTAGGATACGGGTACGGCGGGGATACGTTCGTAAAAAATATTATTTTAACAATTTTTAGTAATGCAGCATGCATAAAAATAAAACCTAAAGCAAAAGACAACTTGATAAAGAAGAAAGATTCCTATAAAACTAAGAGTCTTCAAGGTCAATAGCTTCAACTTGTTCCCCTTCATCATTGTATATCACAAGACCTTAGCTAAAGCTAAAAAACCATTCTTAAATAAAAATTTCAGCAAATATACTTTTTTAAGTCATCAATGATAGCCTAGGAAGCACGGATACGAATATGGTGATATGGGGATGTGGATATGGCGATATGTCAAAATTTGAAAAAGTACGATACGGGTACAGCGGTGATACATTCATAATTTTTTTTTTTATATAATTTTAATAATGTAATATGCATGAAAATAAAACTTAAAGTAAATTAATAAATAAGGAGAGGGATTCCTATTAACCTAAAAGTGCTCAAACATTCATAAAACATCCAAAACTAAAAGCAAAAGCAAATGCAAATGCAAATTAAACATCATCCTTACATGCCAACACCAAAAAAAGAATGAGAGCAGAGAGAAGAAACGTGAGAGAGTGAAAAAGCGAGAGAGAAGTGAGAGAGACAACAAGGATACATCAATTTGACAAATTCTATTACTTTAACTCTCACTATATTCCTCTTATTAAAGAACTAAACAAAATATTATAAGTAATATATAACTTCGAGTATCCGATACTTCAAAATTATGTATTCGATACTTCAAAATTAATAAAAAATTAATTAAGAAGTATTTGATACTTTTAAGAAGTATCCGATACGTATCCATGAGTATCCGAGGAGTATCGGTATCCGATAAGTATCTGATACGGATACGTCACCCTTTTTGAAGTATCCGTGCTTCATAGAAATCGTTTAATGTTATTCGGGTGTTTTGAATCACTGATTCTGACTGCAATGGCTGCTATAATAATATTTTGCCATTTCTAATCGTGACAAATAGCCTAGTTAACGATTTTCTATATGATTGACCAATAAATCAAGTCAAGTAATTTTCTTTTGTTGGCCTGTTGTGTGTCCCCCACTGCCCAGCGCCATCCTCTCCCTCTCACCCTGACTGCCTGCCACTACCCTCTTTTCTCTTCCCTAGTGCACCCTCTCCTTCCCCTTCCAATCCCTTCTCTCTCCTTCCTATTCCCCCTCCTTACCACCCACCCTCCACCATCATTGCCACCACTATATCTCTCTCCCCTCAAACCTTGGAAACCCTTTCTCACACATTATCTCCCCTCCAGAATTGCCTACTTGACCACACATCATCTTGACCATTGTGTGTCAACTTGCCCAAATGAGGGGTTCGATTGCGATTGCACCTTGGCATTTTCATCATGTTCAAGCCTTGTGGAGGTTCGATTGCCCAGATGGAGAGTTCAATTGTTACAAGAAAATGTGTGATTGTGCGATTTGGTGGAGCATGGTGGATGCTGGTGTTTGTAAATCTAGGTTTGGAGGTAGTGGGGGGTGGTGGTGATGATGGACAGGGAAGTAGAGGGGTAGCAGTGTTATGGAAAAAGAATGGGTGGGGCGGTAACTATGGGTTGAGGAAGGGAAGGAAGGGCTGGCAATGAGGAAAGAGAGGGAGTTGGAGGTGGTGACAAGTTTGTTGACAATGGGGGTGGCAGTGGGTTGGGAAATGGAAGGGTGAGGGAGTAGGAAGTTAGTAAATTGTCAAAATTGTGCTTTCTCCTTTGGGATTAATTAATAGGATATAGACAGATGGTCGGGATTGGGACGATTTTAAAAGTCCAAGGTTTCAATTGAAGAAATTCAAAGTGTAGGGTTTAATTTGTTGCAAGGGTCGAACCCTCTTCTTTTTTTTCTCTCTTTTTTTTTGTTGTATTTTTATTTTTTTATAATTTCCCCAAAATTCATATATGGGTAAATTACACTTTTCCTCTTTTACGTTTCGATGTTTTCTTACTTGGCATTTAAAGTTTTTTTCCCCCACTTTGGTCTCTAGCATTTATAAATTTACCCATTTTACTCCAATAGCTAACATCCATCCAATATGGTCAGAAAATGCCACGTTGGAATCCATGTTACGCCACATTGGTAGCTACGTGGCTTAATAACACATTATTATGCAAATTTGGATAAATTACACTTTACTCCTTTAAGTTTCAAGTGTCTAAGAAGTACAAACATAGACACGTGATACGACACAGACACGTCAACACGACAATTTTCAAAAAATACAAGACACACAAAATATGTAGTTTTATATATTTATTATAAATATATCATTCAAAGATAATAAAAAATGCAACATAATATTAATTTTTGTAAAATTTTCGTTATCTTTGTACCCTAGGTTTATTTTGTTTAAATTTATAATTAGTTTCATATGTATCTAAGCGATAGACACGTGTGTCCCTCGATTGTTTGAGCCTTAAAAGATTAAAACATAATAGGACACGTTTGGATGAGTGTCGACACTTGTTGGGAAGTATCCGATGAGTGCCAGTGCCCGACATGGACACGACAAGGATACACCACCTTTTTAGAAGTGTCTGTGCTTCATAGTTTAGCATTTTCTCTCTTTCTCTAAAAAAAAAAAAATTCCCCCACTTTGGTGTCTAATGTTCTAAGTTTTTTCAGTTTGTTCCAATAGTCAATCTGTCTAGAATTGGATGAATGGCATCCATGTTTACTCCAGTTTGAACTTTATTTGTAATCGAGCCCCTTTCCCTCCCCTAGAATTCGATGAATGACATACACTATCCGCTTCCTCTCCCATATCTACTGAAATGGCGATTGGATTTGGGAGAGAGATATTGTTCGATGATGGTGTTTGATGGTGTCGATTTAAAGGGTTGTGGTGGGTGGATGCTTGATGGTGGTTTTGAAATGTTGGTGGTAGCAATAGCGTGTAATCGAACCGAGACGAGCTGAGCGGAGTCGAGTTTAACTATGTTCAAGCTCAGCTCGAGCTCGAAGCGAGCCAAAACATTTGAGCTCGAGCTCGGCTCGTGTAAAATTTATGCAACTCTGGCTCGGCTCGTGATGGCTTGTTAGTCAAGAGACAACCAAGGAAGACTAAAGCCTACTACACTTAAATAGAGATCTCTCTACCTTGAAATACATTGTGTAATCGATGGGGGACACCAAACTGTTTGAAACATGACTAACCAAACGGCATTGTTTGGCCAGTGAGTGCAATTGCACTCTTCAGTCCCACATCGCTCAAGCAAAGAAGCATACTAAGTCTCAATGCTTATAAAACAGAGTTGTTTGCAGCCATTATTACTCAATGAAAGCTTTAAGCTTGGCTCGAGCTCGAAGCGAGCCAAAACATTTGAGCTCGAGCTTGGCTCGCGTAAAATTTATGCAACTCTGGCTCGGCTCGTGATGGCTTGTTAGTCAAGAGACAACCAAGGAAGACTAAAGCCTACTACACTTAAATAGAGATCTCTCTACCTTGAAATACATTGTGTAATCGATGGGGGACACCAAACTGTTTGAAACATGACTAACCAAACGGCATTGTTTGGCCAGTGAGTGCAATTGCACTCTTCAGTCCCACATCGCTCAAGCAAAGAAGCATACTAAGTCTCAATGCTTATAAAACAGAGTTGTTTGCAGCCATTATTACTCAATGAAAGCACAAACTTCCAAACTAGTAATGATTATTATTTGTAATATAAAAATAAAAAATAATCATGATCATTAAAATTTGAAATGTTTTAATATATATATATATATATATTTGAGCTCGCGAGCCTAATCAAGTTGAGTATTATTGAGCTTGGGCTTGGCTCGTTTATTATATGAGCTTAAAATTCTCAGGCTCGTTTATTTGGTAAGCGAACCGAGTTTGAACGAGCCTTAACGAGCCGAACTTGAGTTTGTTCATGAATGATTTGGTTGATTTGCCGCCAGTGATGAGGTGGAGTAGGGCAATGAATGGTGGTGGTGTTGAGTTGTAAATGATAGCAATGATGAGAGGGAGTACTGTCAGGGATGGAGTTTAGGGGTTAGGGCACAGAGGGGAAGGCAAGGGGAGGAGTGGGGGTTTCAATGGTGGTGGAGCCAATGGTGGGGTCCGTGGAAGGGTGGTGGGAGTGTTGGAGGAGATTATGGGTTTGGGTTGAGTCTAAATTTATGTAATAATGTGTCATAATAATTTTACGTGCAACGTGACATTTTCCATGATTGTTGGAGCAAACTGGAAAAAATTAGAAATTTAGGTACTGAAGTGGGAAAAAAAATTAAAGGTCAAAATGGAAAAACAGTGCTTCTTAAGGGGAGCAAAAATGTAATTTACTCAAATTTGTATAAGAATGTGTTATTAAGTTGTGTGATTTTTGTACAAAATTGGATGGACGTTAGTTGTTGGAGTAAATTAAGAAAAATTAGAGATGTTGAGGGCCAAGAGGGAGAAAAAAAACTTGAAAGGCTAAAGTGGAAATATGTTAAAACTTAAGGGGGGCAATTAGTATAATGTACCCTTCACATAGTTATTCCACTTGTTTTTTAAATTATGTTTCAGGTTATTAGGGAAAGTGGCATTAGTTACTGGTGGTGCAACTGGCATTGGAGAGAGCATTGTACGCCTATTCCATAAGCATGGTGCAAAAGTTTGTGTTGTTGACATTCAAGATGATCCTGGCCAGCATCTCTGTAAAACCCTTGGTGGTGATCAGAATACATGCTTTTTCCACTGTGATGTCACAGTAGAGGATAATGTTCTCCGTGCAGTTGACTTTGCAGTCGATAAATTTGGCACACTTGATATCATGGTTAACAATGCTGGGATAGGTGGAGCCCCTTGTCCAGATATCCGCAATGCAGACCTATCTGAGTTTCAGAAGGTATTTGATGTGAATGTGAAGGGGGTATTTCTTGGAATGAAGCATGCAGCTCGTATAATGATTCCAAGGAAGCAGGGCTCAATTATTTCCATTTGTAGTGTTGCAAGTGCCATTGGAGGAATAGGTCCACATGCATACACAGGGTCCAAGCATGCTGTTTTGGGACTCACCAAGAATGTTGCAGCTGAGATGGGGAAATATGGTATACGTGTTAACTGTGTTTCTCCTTACGGAGTTGCAACAAGCTTGGCTTTGGCTCACTTGCCCGAGGAGGAGAGAACTGAGGATGCAAAGGTAGGTTTCTGTAATTTTGTTGGGAGGAATGCTAACTTGCAGGGGGTGGAACTGACGGCCGATGATGTGGCGAACGCTGTGCTTTTCTTAGCCAGCGAGGAAGCAAGGTATATGAGTGGGGCTAATCTGATGGTTGATGGGGGTTTCACCTGTACAAATCACTCACTTCGTGTCTTCCGCTAAATAACAATGTTCTTTGTGGGTGCTTTCATGGGGCAGGTTAATGGTAGTGTTATTGGCTGCGGTTATTCTAAAAGACTTTTTTTCTTTTCTTTTTTGTTCTTGTTATATAGTCTGCTAACTTTGTAGGCTTGCAATGAGTGTGCTAAGTTATTGGAGACCGTTTCAATATTCCTGTGTCTTGTATTTGTAATGATAGATGATGGTAAAAGTATTCTGATTTTGAATATTCAGTATCAGTTGTAAACTATAGATGATCGTAACTTGGTGATGGCTGTTCTGGAAGTCGTGGTTGGGAAGGGCGTGGTGGTGTGGATGGGCTCAGCAAACAATCAATCTGTTCATCAACAACTCGTATTTGGCTTGTTTAAAACTCGTTTGAGTGCAATTAGTTTGCTAAGTTAATGAGCTAGATTTTGTTTTTTACTCTTTTCGTAACTAAGCTGAGCTCAATTAAAACTAAACTTGGCTCGAGTAGACTCGTGAATATATACATATATTAAATATAAGAGCTAATGATACTTTCAACAATTACACATAACTAGTTTCAAGTTTCAGTTCCATTCCTATCCACTAATTCATATATATTTTTATTCATGTTTAATGATTTATTTATCATAATTTATTTTCTTTTTTTTTGTTTGTGTATGGTGCTTGTGTAAATTTATATATTTAATTAATGAAACTTATTAATAATGCATCATTCCTTTTAAATTTCTTGCTAATAAAATTTTCTTATTTTTCTTATTATGCATGTTAATTTAGGTTTGGATTTGATATTTTATTTTTATTTTCGAGTTCAAAATTTGGTTGTTTATATAATTGAGTTGACTCAAATTAAGCTTTTAGTTTTCTAAGAATTGAGTTCGAGTTTTATTTTTTAAAATTAAACTTAAGTGACTAATTTTTAACAAATTAAACTTGAACAGACCAAAACTCGATTCAATTAGAACAATCCAAAGCTTGACTAAGCTTGTTAGCAGCTCTGGACAATTAGAGAACCGTTAAATTGAGTGATGGCTAGAAGAATTTTTGTCGAGATAGCTTAAAAAGGGAAAATTGCAATTTAACAATTTAACCCTTCTATGTTTGATCACTTTTTTATTTTCGTCTTTAAAATTTATTTTTTCTCATTTTGACCCTTCATGTTTTAAGTTTTTTCTACTTTACTTCTAAAGTTAATTTTTGTTAAAAATTAGACAGAAAGTGTTACAATAACTGTTACATAACATAAAAAAATATTATTATATTAAAATTTGAGTTTATGTTAGAGGTGTGAATTATATATAATAAAATATTTTTATGTTACGTGACTGCCAATGTGTCATTTTCTATCTAATTTTTAACAGAAATTAGTTGTAAGACTAAAGTGAGAAAAATTTTAAGGGCTAAAATGAAATAGTGGCTAAACATAAAGAGGGCAAAGTGTAATTTATCTGTTTTAAAATTCAATAATTACTTATTGACTCGCCCATAAATTTTAAATGAGAATCTATGAATAAAATTTCACAAATATAATCAAAATCTTGAAAAAAAAAATGGGTGTACTTCAAATAAATTAACCACATGGTAACAACAGCCAAAGAGACAACATAGCAGCAAGGATGGAAACGCCTTCAAATCTATAGCCGATGAAAAGAAACCAAAAGCTATGCATCCTGAAAAGTATCATGAAAATAAAGTGTATGATACATATTTAAATTTAGAGTGGCAAGGGACATTCAAAATAAATTTAATTTATATGTAGTAATAATACTATAAATTCATACTTAATTATTCAAAAATTATACAAAATTATTATTTTATGATTTAGATTTATTCTATATATGAACCCCACATTATATAAATTCAATCACAATCACACATCTATATTCTGGGTAATTTCGAGGACAATAGGTCTGGGATACCAGACCTATTTTTTAAAAATATGTAGTCTATCTAAGGAAATCTTGAAGCTTTATCGAAAAATGAAAAGAGAAATCTTGAAGCTTCCAATAGAGTTTAGGAGGACATACGTCTAGGTCCTAATAGGTGAACTTATTGTTCAATAGGTTTTATGATAATTAATGGTTTTTTCATAAAACACTATTAAAAAACGCCGCTAATAATTAATTTTCAGTGACAGTTTGAAAATTTTGTCACAAAAAATGTTATTAATTATAAGTTTTAACGATAGTTTAAAAAAAATTGTTACAAAAAAATCACTAATTTTTAACTTTCAATGGCAGTTTGAAAAATTTTTCATAGAAAAACGTCACTAATTGTAAGTTTTAGTGACAATTTATAAAAACCGTGACAAAAAAGTTACTAATTATCAATTTTTTTAGCGACATACGCAAAAAATCATCACAAAAAATTATTTTTAACGACGATTTTACTGGGACTTATTTTCAATAGGACTTGATAAGAATTAAATCCAACTATTATGACCTATTGGTAGTTTACCCTAGCGTTTTATTCATGTAATTTGAAGAGAGGTTGTTTAACTTTTGGAGAGAAAGGGATATGCCTCAAAGTAAAATAGAGCGTTAGGGTTGGAGTCTTTTACTTAGGGTACAACTATAAAAAAGATGTACATCGAAATAGCAAGAGATAAGTGGGTAAGCCCTAATAATAATAATAAGGAAAATTCTAAATATAAATAAAATTCATACAAAAAATTTGATAAGATTAATGTGGCAATGTGTAGATATCCCATTTTTGACTAGCCTTAAGACTTGGACACTCCTTTTTAAGCTCCCGATAATGAAGATGAGATGTGTTAATCTTACAAGTTTTATAGCAGGAAGCCTAAGGATCTGGCTTTAAATCATCCACAGACCTGTTTTGGACAAAATATTTTTCGATCAAAATGGAAACCTTCTTTTGAAAACGAGTTTAGTGGTGCAATTCCAGCAATTACTACAATGTTCTGAGGATCATATTTTCAAAATCAAAACATTGTATTCTTTCGAACAAATTGAGCAAAGAATATAGTAGAAATGAATAGAAGAGATGAAATCCTCTGAAATACCTGTTTCTCTTTGCAATTCAAGCTAACCTTCTCTTGTTGATTTGATTATGTGCTTGCTGATTGGCCGGACACCATGTGCTGGCTGCTACAAAAGCACTCAGCTGATCACCCAAGAGAGCAGCCTACTGAATGTTCTGGCTACAGAGCATTTTCAGGAATTCAACTTGTTTTGCTTACTTACCACAAATATCTTAGATATTTACACCCTGAGCTCTTAATACAGAGCTCGGTAGCTCATTTCAAAGGGTTGAAAAGTTTTCCCAAAGCTCATAAGAGCCTCTTGACCCTCCTCTCTCTTCATTGTTTTGCTTTGGACATCTAAACTCCATTGAAGCTTGATGCTAAGCTTCTTGCTAAGACTTTTGGACATTAAACAACACATCTAAAGTGACTTAAGGGAATTGAAAGCGGGTTTGTGATCAAAGTGACATACCTTCTTTAGCAGGTTATATTCTCACACCTTTAATCATCTTTCTCCATTTCCTTCTTTAATTCATGCTTTATACTATTGTATAGTTGTAACAAGTCCTCATGGATGTGGAGGGAGTAGCTTTAGCCACCCATTCATTGAGTTGATAGTTTTTTTTTCTGAACTTTGTTGCTTTTCTCTAATATCTAGCTTATATGTATTTTGGACCCTTGTAGATGTGATTGGGAGTAGTTTTTAGCCATCCATCCACAAGTTTAATAAGTAAAGTAGTTGTTTTGTTTTTTTGTTTTTTTTTTTTGTTATAACACTCCTTCTCTTCACATATCCTATATCTTAAGTGCATTCAACCTATGTATTCCAACCTATGCTCAAAGATGATGGGTAGAATGTTTGTTTCATAAGGTTGCTTGAGTGATTCTTGGAATTTGATGCTGAGAGAGTTGTGTTCTTTCCCTTTTTGGTTGTTTTTGGAAGTAAAACAAGAGATTTTGGGTCAAAGGACATTGAAAGCTCCCCTCTCAATCATTTGTGAACATAGAAAGGGGTATAACTATCATTGTTCTATGACAAGAGGAGGAGCTTTCAATGGATTTGATGGATCCCTTGTTTTAGTAAGCAAAGCTTCCACCAAAAAATGATTTGCATTAATCTACACTCTCCACTTAAAAGCATGGATTTGGGCATTGATTTGCCCTTATTCACAAAGAGAAGATGTAGGTTCTTATCTATTTTTTGAGCTTGAATTTGTTCTCGATTTTGATTCATTTAATCATTGATTTATTACAAAATATCCGTTGTATATACCTGTTTATATCATTGTTGAGGGTTCTAGCCCATCCATCTCTTCTCCTAGTGATCCTTATTAGTAGAGGAAGTAGAAATGATGAGCATCCCCCAGAAAGTGCCCTTCTGGCCTCTATCCTAGAATTCTACATTTACCTAAACCTTAGCCGAATGAATAATTTAGCTGGCCACTGCCTGGTTTGGCTGGCTCATCTTGTGTCTGGTTGGTCATTTTCCCCCAAGAACAGAGCAAACAGTTTCTGGAGAAGTGCTCTCCTGGATAGTGCTGAAGCTCCTAGGTGATTTACTCATTTTGATTTGTTAGATTCAACAATAGTTTGGCTAAATCCATTCAATGTTGTAATAATTACTCTCTCTCGCTCTCTCTCTCCCTCTCCTTCCCTTCTTTCTTATTTAAAATGTTATAATTACCCCTAACCCCACGTCTTTCTTACCATTTTATTTACGTGCTTTTGGTACTATATCATGCTCATTTTTTTTTATTTTTTATCATACTTGTATATTGCATCCATTTTTCATGCACTTGAGTTTGGTTCATACGTATTTATGGAATTTATTATTTTCAAAGATGAATATGTGCGTTGCTACATGTCTTGAGATGACATCCATGCCATTTCTTAGCATCTGGAGCCCTAGATACACGACGTGTATATATTGCATTAGTCAATTGTATCTAGGATCATGCACACAAATGTATATATCTAAACATTTCTTGGCACCCACCTTGGAGTACCAGGTGAGGAATTTTTGGCTTTAGCATATTGCATGTGTATGTTCCTTATCATATTTGTTGCTACATCATGAGGCTAAGTGCTTAAAGGAGATATCTGTTTGAATGCCGGTAGATGGAGGTTATGTTGTTTATTTTGGAATGTAGATAATTCTCATGCTGTTGAGTTTGTGCAAAAAGCCTTCAAAAATCAAAGCATAACCAAAATTAATGACACAATCTATACTTGCATGCCTTAGATAGTAATGGTAGTGCTATTAATAACCGGCACATGGATACATATTGATTATAAAA